TCCCTCCGTCCTTTAGCTGAGATTCTTTCGAAATGAGCTCTCTTTTGGGTTAGGCCCCAATTTACAATATTGAGAGGACCATACACCAACCCCGACATGACTTTGTACCATCCTATTATCTTCATTGTAATTGGAATGTCAAATTGCACTTGAGCTCTTTCTTGTGACCAATTAGGTATTTCCACTATTCGTTTTGAAGGACAAGAATATTCTCCTTAGTCCTTCCCTTGCCTTAAAATCCCTTAGTTTAAATGTTTCACCTGTCGTGAACGGCAAATCTAAGATCTAGAGTTAGTGAATCCATACTTCGTCGGTTTGAAAATGCGAACGACGAATCCGAGTGATTGAAGCTTTATGTACTAAATGAATATTCAAACACCTGTAGAGGTTAGTGGAATGATCTTATTTAGGGGCATTTATAATTTATATGTTTTCTCATATGTATACATAATTCATGTTGAAAATAATAATGAGAAATTTTCAGAAACCACTATGTTTTAGTGATTATTAGCTTGCTATATTTACCATTTACTAAATTACTTCGTATAGCTATATTTTCAGCTGTTTTAGACTGTATTCGATGTATTTTTGCTACCGTATCCATCATCTTTTTTTTTTTTGTGGTATCTTTACTAAAATATTTTTTAGTGGTACCTTTACAAATTGATTTATATATTGAAATTATATAATTACATTGAATACAATTAAATACATAAAAATACATTGAATACATGAGGTATGCAAAAATATATGAATACATATTGCAGATACATTTGAATACATATATACATCTGAATAAATAAATTATATTAATTAAAAAACATATGAATACATTCATGGAATACATCGAGACAGTGAATACAATGAAATACATGAAATACAGCGAGATACATTGAAATATAATGGAAAAAAAGGCAGTGAATACAATGAAATACATGGAATACAGCGAGATACATTGAAATACAATGAAAAAAAAGGTAACAGACTCTTCAAGTTCCTCAGCCCCAAACTCCGTCCCCAATCCACCAATATCCAGGCCGCCGTCATGTGGGGCGTCGCCGTCGATTAAATGAAGACAGTTGTTGAAGAAGCACCAATTTAAAGGATCAAACGAAAACAAGAGACAGAACTTCTTCAGATCTCACAAGGCAAACATGAACAATCAATGTAAAATCTAAGAAAAATTTAGAATGTGTAACACAATTGTACCAAAGAAGTCGTCGGCCGGAGGAGGGGGTTAGGGGTGACACAACAAGGAAGGGGGAAAGTGGTCGCCGGCCGGATCTGTCGTTGGCGGAACACAGTCCCTGCTAGGGTTTCTAAAAGCAGGGGAGGAAAAAACGGAGGGAAAAAGAGAAGAAAGAGGAAAGAAAAAGGAGGAGAGAAGGAGAGAGAAAATAAACCACAGCGTATTTAATGACTTAAAGGTAGGAAGTGACCATAAATAAATATTTGGCTATAAAAATTAAAAGGTAGCTATAGGAGATAATTTTTTAAAAGGGTATTTATTTATAATAAATAGGAATTTTTACCTCCTATAGCAAAGGTTAACACCTTATTTATTTTAAATAAATACCATTTAAAAAAATTATATTCTATAGATACCTTTTAAGGTTTATAGCAAAATATTTAATTTTGGTTACCTCCTAGCCATAAGCCACTAAATACGCTAATCAGTTACACTATTTTCTTTCTCTCTCTACTTTGATACATCCCATTCTCTTACCCCATCCCATCAAAATTTTCGATCTCCTCCTCCTTCCACCGGATTTGTGCAAAGTATAAAAGATTCAAAAGGTAACCAAACACTTTATTGGTGATATTATGTAGGCGTTGTTTTGATCCTTGTAATTCAGACTCTGCCATTCTCTTTCCATAATTCGTGGGTGAATATTGTGAGCAGTGATTCAACAAATGAGAGGAGCAGAGCAGGTTCACTCTCTGCTTCAGCCAATTTGTGCTTTGTCTTCTTCTATTTGGGAATTTAGAGTTCTTTTCGACAGAATCAAACCAACTTCATCAATCTAGAGCAATTCCATGTCGCCTTTCTTTTTCTTTTTCTTTCTTTTTGCTTTGTCTTCTTCTATTTAGGAATTTAGAGTTCTTTTCGACTGAATCAAATCAACTTCATCAATCCAGAGCAATTCCACGTGACATCCACGCCACAACTTTATCTTTCGCGATGAAGAAGAACATTTTTTTTAATATATTTCAATATAATTTCAACGTATTACACTATATTTTCATGTATTTCATTGTATTCATTGTCTTTTTTTTTCATTGTAATTCAATGTATCTCGCTGTATTCCATGTATTTTATTGTATTCTCTGTCTTTTTTTTCGTTGTATTTCAATGTATCCCGCTGTATTCTATGTATTTCATCATATTCACTGTCTCGCTATATGCCATGAATGTATTCATAAGTTTTTTTTAATTAATATAATTTATGTATTCAGATGTATTACATAATTTCCCTGAAGATTGCTATGTTTTTGGGATATTTTCTGGTTGAGAATCTTTTTTATAACTGAAAATACAAAATTTGTGTGTTATAATTGAGTTTGTTGAGTTATATTAGGAGTCTATTATGTTAATTGATTCACTTTCTGTTTTAAAAACAGTGTAATCCCCTATTTCACGCCGTGAATACAGTCGAATACAATAATCTCTCCAGCTGTAATCCCATGTTTCACTCCATGAATACTGTGGAATACACTCGAATACAACAACTGATTAGCTGGACTTCCCTGATTCACGCCTATTTTTACTACTGTATTCATGAATACAATAGCTTAAATACATCAAATACAACTTATAACCACATAAAAGGTATCTATAATTCGTAATATAGCAAATGGTATCTATAGATGGCTAATTAATACTAAAAGATAGTGCTTTATGAAAATTTCTCTAATAAATAAGGTATCAATCTTTGCTACAGGAGGTAAAATTTTCAGTTAAGCATGTGTTTGTCTGTTGCTATGGCCCAAATGAGAGAAAGATTAAACAACATATGGACTAGCACGTGGACAGCAATGGACACTATTTAAGTAGTAATTGTCATGTAATCCAAAGCCCAAATTCTGTAGGCCAGCCCATGGGACAAAGTGAAAAGTTGTATAGTCATTCTTGTTAAGCGAAATTTCTGGAAGCGCAGAGGAGATGGACTGGAGCTCAGAATATTATGCCTACCCAGCCCAAGATTGCACAAATTTCATGAGGTCCAAAATTAGCCCAATAAAATGAAGTGTCCTATTTAGGATGAAGAACGTCTATATTTATGTTGAACATCCACAATCAACAAAAATATAATGTCTAGCAAATGGACGGCGTAGAACTTGTCACATAAGATATTTTCCATGTACAAAGACTAGACAAGCAATCTCTTAATCATGATTTGACGATAACAGTCATGATCACGAAAATTTCTTCACATTTTTCATCCTCCATTTTAAGCAATAACTTTTTGTTTGAACCCAAAGTAGACTCTGTTGTCACTTAAGAGCCACAACATAATCATAGTAATAGGACCTGCTTAATTGGCCTTCCCTATATTCCTGTTAACTTCGTTTGAAAGATATGCTTTTTTCAGAAATGTGGATAGATAACTACTGGACTAATAATAGCTTTCACTAACCATTTGCTGGGCACAAAAAGGAAAGCTGACAGCCCATCTTTTCTTTGGCAGTAGAATCATATGGGCCCTTGTGATTCGTGGATAGTGGAGGGCTCTAATGCAAACATGGTTTTGTTCAGGATATATTTGCCCAACAAATAAATGCATAAATTTAATTTTTTACCTTATATACACAATGTTATTTTCTAGCGAAGGGTGAATCCTCATTCCACCCTCTAGCTCCACCACGACAGGGGGCGGATGCACATGGGTAGAAGCGGTGTAAACCGATATCGCTTAGCCGAAAAAAACATTAAATGGTTATACTAATATTATGCAAAAATAAAGCAATATATTGTAACGATACCGCTTTCTAGCGGAGAGTACTTTTTGGTCCACTAGTCAAACTCATATTTGGACTTGTAAAGATCGTAGGTTTGAATCAGGACCTAAACATTCTATTTTTCGAATATATTTGAGTGAGCATTTTCATTAAAAATTTGAGGCTAAGGAATTTTTTTACACAAACCTCCCATTGCAATACTATTCAACAAAATCATTGGGCCAAGGCTTTCACCTTGTGGAAAATGATATTAAATAATACTTTTTTTATTTTATTTATATAAATACGATACCGCTTACAACAAGTTCTACATATGCCCCTGCACCACGATAGTTTTATTAAGTGAATTTTGGCACTCTGCTTTATATTTTTGAGTTTTAAAGTGGTGTTGATTAGAATATGGTCTGGTCTTAGTTTCTGTTAGAAAACTAATTCAAAGTTGTAGTGGAAAATTAAATTAAGAATTTGATGTTTACAAGTTTATTTAACTCATGTCTAGTTAGGAATTAAAGTTTCAAGTTAAAATAGGTTGGTAATATTATAAATTTAGGCATTTGTAGCTTATTTTATGTATGTAAAGATTAGTGGAGACAAGCGTGAAAAAAATATAAAGAGCATTCAGAAAATTATACTATTTTTTTTATATTTGGTATTAGAGTTGGTTTTCGTGCCTGAAATATTCAAGCCTATAGCAATTCTGCATTGTGTGCCCTCTCTTGCTGGAGTGAGCGCATAAGTCCATCAGTGAGCTTGTTCTGGTGCAAACGTTTAAGATTATAGCAATTTTTCACTGTATACCTTCCCTTAAGCTAATATCTTCAACCACAAGCATGCCCTGAGTAATATCAATTATTGTAGGGATCAAATACCTGAGACTTTTCATTAATTTTCTGAAATATGTTACATCAACAAAATCACGAGTGCAACCCTTAGTCAATTCCATCTTCTCTTCAATACTAGATAGTTATGCCCGTGCAATGCACGGGCCCAACGTAATAAAGATATTTTGTAAAATTTGTTTTGCAAAAAGCCACCACAAAAATTAAAGAGAATCAACTTGCTCAAAATTATGAGTTTGTTTTCTATGTAAGGGATATATCCAGCCCAAAGCAACTTCCCAACCCAAATCAAAAGATACCAAATCTTAGCAAAAGCCAAACAAGGTCCCAAAAAATGAATAAAAAAGATGAAACTTTGTTCGAAGAAGCTGTTCAGTTCTACAAACTATCATTTCATCTCTTGAATCTCACTAACTCTTCTTGGTAAATTCAATAAACTAAGAGTTCCATGTTAGTCCTTGAGAGAAGGGCTTTGTATAAAAATAATAAAAGAAGGACACACTTGTTCAATAATCGAAGTAATCTAATCTTCACCTGCAGTAAAGTAGTAGCAAATTTAGAGGGAGGAAAGAGGAATCTTAAATAATGAGATAGCCTTCTAAAACATAGAGGAAAGAAAATGAATCCTAAGTGATCTTACAAAGGCACCCACCTTTCACATTATCCTTTCATAAGATGAATGAATTTTTACTATATATAAGTGAGAAGAACAGAACTACAAAAGCAGTACTATGTGCTACATGTGCAAAATGTAACTTAAGGCACAAACACGATAAACTACTTGAATATCAAAGAACATAAAGCGATAGGACTCCCATTTAAACATCTCTGGATTCTTTCATTCCGCAACGTGCGAGCAACAAAAGGTTTTTCAAATTCTATTCCAAATGCAAAATTACATGGTAGACAAAACTGTAAGACATCTGATGTATCGAATCACTTTAAGACATGAAATGGGGCTTCTACATCAATTTTCCTATCTTACAAAATAGGGTCAAACCTCTCTATAACAGGTTCGTTTGTTCAGATATTTTTTGGCTGCTATAGTGAAGTGTTGTTATAAAAATATATATTATAATAAAACATAAAAATCGATTCCAAGAAAAACTTGGATTTTATAGTGAATGGCTGTTATATAGAGATACTATAGAGGTTTGACTGTACTTCAAAAACAACCATTGGAAAAGAAGGGAGAAACTTGTATGGATTTTCATAGTTCTTAAAGAACTTTTGGCAGTAGAAGCTTTAAGCTTCATGTATATTTGTAGTGAAATTCAATTTAACTAAATAAATGGAAGTGCATTGAAGCTGAAAATGAACGTGGGTCACAGTTCATGGACATGGGTAGTTTCTAATTCATTCCTTTACTGGAAAACTGTTGCGTCAAATTAATAAAAGGGTGGTATTTTCTCAGCAATGCCCTTATAGCACTGAGTAGATTGCTGCGCAATACAATTACGAACTTGTAAAATGAATCTTTTTATCACAAAAAGATTCGCCATTCCTGACGTGCTTCACCCATCTTAGCTTGTTGCTTTTTGTTTCCACTATCAAAAATATAAGAATCTAGAAAAAATAACTTCTTTCTATTGTAATCAAATAAAAAAATGTCTAAATGAAATTAACTTCTACTTGAAATTGAAGCCATAAAAATAATGCATGTTCCTTCTAAACAATAAGCAGAATGAGAAAACCAAGTGCAAAAAGTAGAAGCCTAGAAAGAGAGTAGCACAAACTTACAAAAGAAATTTAAGAAGTCTTTATGAAGTAGTTCATATATTTATTGCTTGATGAAAATTCGAATTGCCTTTTCAATCCTTTAACCACACTGCAAAATCACCTCATATTAAAATAAAGCACAGGCATACAAGTATATGAATCTCTTGAAAATATTAGCAAATAGCATAAATATACAAAAGTTTGAACCCAGAAAACTTAAAACGGGGTTCTTAGCGAGCAACATACCTCCTACAATAGGTGTAACATTAAAGAGTGAGCTTGTAAATGTCTTTTGATCTTGCATCAACTTTTCCAGCTCTTGCTTCTGTTTTCTTAGGTCTTCGGATTATGTCCAACATTGTGAAATCTGAGTCAACTCACCGAAAGATATTGCTTCGAGTGAGGCATTCTAATATCAATATTTCTTACCAAGACACGAAATATGCAGATACACACATTATATATATTATAAAGTTATTTTCAGTTAAAGGAGAAATAAAGGTGAAGCTTAAAAGAAGTGAGAAAAGCTAAACCACGAAGGTAGTTCTTTTATGTAATTGTAGGCATCATAATTGGGCAATGACATAGTATTAGACCACATTTGATCTCATATAGTTTGAAGGATCTGGAAGCCTAACATTTAGTTCCATGGAAAAGTAGAACTCAAGGGATAAAACTACAGAGCATTCAGCAAAAAAAATTATTATCAAATTCTTGAAATTAAAAAAAAAAATTATCAGAGTGTACTCAAATGACAGTAAATAATACTGTAATACAACAACGTTCTGTTTGTACATTGATTATATCGGAGCATCCATACAGCTTTGACTGTTATGAGAAGCCCTTGTGGATTAGGATTAGTGCATGAGAAAAAAAAGAATATTATTTATACTGGAGGACCAAATGATATACTTATCAACGTTTGCTTGGTCCATTGAATAGATCTAGTATAGAATATAGTGGTATTGAACTTTCTGTGACATGTATTCATATGCTAAATTGTCATCCTAAAAATTCATTTATTCTTGTCAAAAAGCCATGGCGTTTCTTCCATTCTTATTTGCTTGTTCAGTTTATATTCTTGTCATATTAATACCTTTACCATTTAACCTCCAATTCTACCTTATTAAATTTGAGGCATCAAAGCACTATGGTATGCCAAAAAAAAAATATGCGGCTGTCGTTGACTGAAAAAAGAAAAGATTTTGCAGCTATATGACTTGCAGATGGCAGTAGAGTGAATTCTCAATGCTACTGGTGTAACTAAGGCTAACAAAAAATCTAAGAACTTATGTGGTATCTTAGTTTGCCAATATTCCTGTTACAAATACTTTTATAACTTCGTTAATTTAATATTTATAGTTTGGAGAATTTAGAGAAACTTTAAAGTTTTTTTTGGGAATGCAAAGTTCGACAAACAACAACAATTTTTTATTAGAGACAAACAGAGATAATATTCTAGAAGAAACATGCCCTATAAATATTATTTTATTACCAATACTATCCCATAGAAACAAAAAAATGTACCTCTTGAATTCATGAATGATAGAGAAGCATGTTGTAGAACATCTGTCAAAGAAAAAAGCAGTAAAACTTACTCTAGTCAGTTATTTCTGGCATATCATCGAACACTCAGGGTGCATCAAATTACTCAAACAATGAGATGAAAACAAGAGTGTAATTTATACTATTCTAGTTCATTATTTTATCATTTAAGTCATTTGTAGTCATCAATGTTGGTAAGTTATTCATCTTGCATCATATGCAGATATCACTTAATTGGCCCCTACCTATAATCTTAGAGCTTTCAATACTTCTGAACAATAGAAAATACCATAATTACTACAAAAACCTGAAATAAAAGAGAAAAAAGGAGCCTAGCTACACCCAATTTTAACTCAATATCCTGTACTAATCATTTTATATTAAGTTGCGTGAATGATAGAACTATTAGTAGTTGTAGCTACCGTAATGTTCATATGTCAATCAGAATTTAGGGAAAATAGAAAAAACTAAAAGGAAATATATTGAGTACAAATTTGAAAAATTAACTAAATAAAGAAGTAGAGGCCCCAAAACTGAAGAGGGAAAAAGAAAATTAAGTTTGAATGTCCAAAAATAAGATTCATGATGCTGAAAATAGCAAGGAAAACCATATCAAAGCAACAAGTGGTTTTTCAGCCTAAACTAAAATTTTAATGTTTCCTTCCCTCTAGAGACAGAATAATGTCACCATAGTAGAACAACAACCAAGGAAATATTACACAAAAGTAATAGCATGCAATTCAGAATTTGAGAGGAGAAAAATTTAAGATGAAATTGAGCAAACACTATACAAACAAATATGGCATTCGGAAATCCAAAAAATTCAAAATGCAGACAATACTCAGAAAAATGATAGAATCAGCGGGAATCCAAAATATTCAATGCCTCAGTATATATATTGTCTTCATAGCTCAAAATAATAAAGAATATCGATAGATTAGTTAAAAGGTTACCTAAAATCAAACAAAAAATGGAGTGGATTCCAGGAAGGGTACATTGGCACTGTTACGGATTTTTTTTTGGAAGAACCTGACGTCTCGAATTAGAAACTTTTCAGAGATCTATAAAAATTAAAGAATGAAAAGAAGACAGAGAGAAAATCGGGAGAAATCATACCTGAAATTGTAGGAGATGGATAAGAAGATGAAGAGAGCCAAGAATTCTTGAAAGAACTGAACCACTGTGAATTCGTGTCTGGGGAATGGAGCGATTTACATTTTTTTGTGATAGAATGAAATGTCAGTTTTACCCCTGGTCGACCATCTTGGCTCTACTATATAAAAAAAAATTATAATTTAATTTAATTTAAAGTGGTGTTGATTAGAATATGGTCTGGTCTTAGTTTCTGTTAGAAAACTAATTCAAAGTTGTAGTAGAAAATTAAATTAAGAATTTGGTATTTACAAGTTTATTTAACTCATGTCTAGTTAGGAATTAAAGTTTCAAGTTAAAATAGGTTGGTAATATTATAAATTTAGGTATTTGTAGCTTATTTTATGTATGTAAAGATTAGTGGAGACAAGTGTGAAAAAAATATAAAGAGCATTCAGAAAATTATACTAAAATATTTTTTTTCATATTTGGTATTAGAGTTGGTTTTCGTGCCTGAATATTCAAGCCTATAGCAATTCTGCATTGTGTGCCCTCTCTTGCTGGAGTGAGCGCATATGTCTATCAGTGAGCTTGTTCTGGTGCAAACGTTTAAGATTATAGCAATTCTGCACTGTATACCTTCCCTTAAGCTAATATCTTCAAACACAAGCATGCCCTGAGTAATATCAATTATTGTAGGGATCAAATACCTGAGACTTTTCATTAATTTTCTGAAATATGTTACATCAACAAAATCACGAGCGCAACCCTTGGTCAATTCCATCTTCTCTTCAATATTGAACATAATTGACTTGGCTTTACCTAAGATAAGTTCATTCATATTATCATCAACACACACACACACACACATATATATATGTATTACCTTGAAGCTATCTACTTTTGTAGTTATTTTGTGGTTGGTCGTGTACACCCTTTCAACTTCAATTGGACCCATTCTGTATTTTGTAGAATAATGCCATTAAAATATTCAATCTCGAACAATACCATAATATAAATTGCATATTTGATATATATAGTCATGTGTTATAGTGGTTTTATAAAAATAGCTAATAAATGATTAAAAATGTTGTTGGTGCATAAAAATAATTTTAAATAATTACTCAATATTATAAAAATATAAAAAGCTATTTTCTCGTGAAATAAGGTAATTATGCACACATGTGCTATTATTGCGAAGTTATTACAATTATAACCCTAACATGTACGTATGGCTATTCATGAAATAATTAAAGCCCAGTATAAATATAAATGATAAAATTAGGCAATAAAATTATCATAAAATCGTTTGTAATGCGATTAGTATTTACTTATATACTAAAATGCTAGAATAAATTAATTAAAATCCCTTTAAAAATTACAGGATAATTATGGAAAAATAATGGCTGATACTCTTGCACTATTTTGAAAGTATATATGTATTTTAAAATATATGGGGGGGAAATTGGGTATCAAGAATGGGAAGGGAAGCATGCGGGGAATGTCAAATACTTAACAGAAATTCAGTAGAGAAGCATAAAGAACACCATAATGATATCAACAAGAATAAGGAAAACAATAACACGTGCACGACATCACTTTTCGTGCTTTTACTCTCGTCCTCACCATAAGAATCAACAGAATCGGCACGGCATCACCCTTCGTGCATTAACTCTCATAATCATGACACGGTATCACCCTTCGTGCATTTACTCTCACAATATTGGCACGGCATCACCCTTCGTGCTTTTACTCTCATAATCATGGCAGGGCATCACCCTTCGTGCATTAACAGTCGCAATATCGGCACGACATCACCCTTCGTGCTTTAACACTCACTCACAATATCATGCACGACATCACCCTTCGTGCTTTACACTCTTCCTCACTTACATAGAAACAATAAATCCCGGCAAAGAGAATCAACAATATAAATAATAACATCCCGGCAAGGGAATCAACAATATGAACAATAACATCCCGGCAAGGGAATTAGCTATAACCAATTTCGTTCCAACAATTACTTCACAAAAACAAATCCCAACTTGAGCCAATACTCAACAATGGTCAATTACCAAGGAATTATCATGAATCATGTTCAACATTTGTAATCATCAACCTAAGCATGGACACTACACACTAGAGTCACAACAATCATGGTATAAGACTCACGGGCATGCTTGACACCAACGTATAGATACTCGTCACCATGCCTATACGTCGTACTCAACAGTAACACGCAACAATTAAGATCATGGCTCCTATTCTCTCAAGCTAAGGTTAGACCAAACACTTACCTCAATTTCACGGACAAAAATCAAGACTCGATTACCGCTTTACCTCTCGGTTCCACTTCCAATCCGCTTGTATCTAGTCATAATTTACTTAATAACATCAATAAATGCTAAATAAACCAATTCTAATGCATGAAAATAGGTTTCCCAATATTTTCCCCAAAAAGTCAAAATCGACCCCGGGCCTGCTTGGTCAAAACCCGAAGTTCGAACCAAAACCCGATCACCCATTCACCCACGAACTCAAATATGCAATTAGTTTTGAAATCGGACCTCAATTTGAGGTCCAAATCCCCAAAATTCAAAAATCCTAACTTCTACCCAAAAACATCCAATTTCCCATGAAAAACCCTAGATTTTGAAGTGAAATTATGTAAAAAGATGAATTAGATTGAAGAAGATGAGTTAGAAATCACTTACTTATGATTTGGAGAAGTTTGAGCCTTTGAAAAATTGCCTAGGGATGCTTAGGGTTCGAAATTTTGAAGAATGAAGTTGAAATCCCGACCAAATGATATTTTGTTCAGGTGTCGCAATTACGACAGGAGCTTCACAATTAGACAGGCTTCGCAATTGCAAACCTGCTGCATGTCTGCTCCTTTCGCAATTGCGAGCATTTGGTCGCAATTGCGATGACTGGCCCTCCCTGATGTCTTCATAATTGCGAAAGACGGGGGGGGGGGGGTTCGCAAATGCGAACAAGGCAGGCCTGGGCTTTATTCGCAAATGCGATCAAACCCTCGCAATTGCCAAGCCTGTTGGGCTCGCAATTGCCAAGCCTGACCTCACATTTGCAAGATCAGAGCCTGCAACACAACTGAACCTGCAACAGCTATTTCTCCAAGTCCAAATTCTCTCTGTGGCCTATCCAAAACTCACCCGAGCCTCGGGGCTCTAAACCAAGCATGCACACAAGTCTAAAAATATCATATGGACTTGCTTGTGCAATCAAATCATCAAAATAACATCAACAACTATGAATTTAGCACCAAAATTTATAAAATTCTCAAGAACATTGAAAGTTCCATTTTCTCAACTATGGGTCCGATTTATACAAAATCAACTCCGATTCTTACCAAATTTCACAGGTTCGACTTAAATATTATTTTAAACCTGTACCGGGCTCCGAAGCCAAAATACGGGCCCGATACCATCAGGATTACACACAATTTCATTTCTACAAATGCTTATATTTTCCAGCCAATAATTTTCTTTAAAAATTCTTTTCTCGGGCTAGGGACATCGGAATTCGATTCCGGGCATACGCCCAAGTCCCATATTTTACTACAGACCCTACGGGACAGTCGGAACATGGGTCCGGGTCCGTTTACCCAAAATGTTGACCGAAGTCAACGTAATTGCATTTTAAAGGCAAAACTTAGCATTTTTCTCAAATTTTCACATAAGGGCTTTCCGGATATACGCCCGGACTGCGCACACAAATAGAAGTGAAATAAAAAGAGGATTTTAAGGCCTCGGAACACAGATTTAACTTCTAAAACACGAGATGACCTTTTGGGTCATCACAAAAACCTATTCCAATATGATTTTGAAAAATAAAACTTGACTAGACATGAATTAAATAAACTAGTAAATATAAAATCATAAACAAATTAGAATTTCTACTCTTTGTTTAATTCCTAAAAAGCCTATTACTCATGGCATGATCATATTTGAAAATCTTGGTTAGTAGGGCATTTGGTGTAGAATTGATATAAGCTTGAATGTTCAAACAACAGAACCAGCTAATTGACTAATTTTGCGCTTACTGCAAAAAACTAGGCCACAATGTGCAATCTTGCTATAGGATTCAACGTGGAGGCAGTAACAACATTGAGCCTGAAAGCAAAGTGTCACGACCCTAAACTCGGACTCGATCGTGATGGCGTCTCTCGTGAAGGCAAGGCCAGCCAACTATTCCCAATTCGAAGTTAAATAGTTAAACAGCAAGAAAACAATCTCAAACATGATTTAATAATACTAAGTAGCAGATAATATCATAACAATGCGGAAGTACAACCCAAACACAGCCCTAACCGGGGTGTCACTAGTCATGAGCATCTATAAGTCATAATACAAGTCTGCTAAGTCTGTAAACTAGTACAACTGTCTGAAACAAGATAGAAATGATAAAGGAGGAGAAACACAGAAACTGCGGACGCCAGGCAGCTACCTCGTGTACTCCAAATGTCCGACTGAAGCTGGAAAGATCATCACTCGGGAGCGGAACCAGCTACGCCTGAATCTGCACACAGGGTGCAGGGAGTAAAGTGAGTACTCCAACTCAGTGAGTAACAAATGTAAATAACGACTGAAAGCATGAAAACACGTAAGGCACAAGGCATTCTATAATGAAGCAGTAAAACCATTCTTAAACAGTAAACCAGTTAAAAGATAAGTAGAAATCCTTTTTCATCAAGTACGCATATAATTGACAGGCAAATACGGAAAATAAACACGAAAAGGTTCGCCCCTCGAGAACTGTATCAATAAAACCGCCCCTCGGGCAAAATCTCAGAACAATACCAGCCCCTCGGGCAACATCTCAGAACAATACCAGCCCCTCGGGCTCAATCTCATATCACAATGGGTACCTGCGCTCACTGGGGGTGTCCAGACTCCTGGAGGGACCCCTTACGGCCCAAGCGCAATATCAAGCCATCTCCTGGCATCATAAACAGGCTCTCGGCCTCATATCAATATCAAGCCACCTCGTGGCACACAATCTCAGGCCCTCGGCCTCAAATCAATATCAGTGTTTCCTCATAACATAGGCCCTCGGCCTTACTCAGTCAAAAATCCTCACAAGTCACTCGGGAAATAGTAAAACAATGCTTCTCAGCCTAAACATTATT